CAGGTCCGACCGAACCACTGGCTATTCGCCTTTTCAAGGCTTTTACCACTTTTACTACTTTCCCTTATACCAGTCTCAAACGCTACTTCTAATTCCGAAGATGCGGACAAGTCGTTACTGTGGGGCACGTATCGACCCAACTTGTATTTCGGTCTGAAACCGCGGTTACCACAGAGTTTGATGAGTGGATTGATGTGGTTCGGTCGGACCTGCATCGTGGCAGGCTGGGAGATTGCCTTGCTTTGTCTTTGTCGAACGGATTCGGACCAAATTGGCTGGCCACCATCACTGTCACTAAAAAGACTCGTTCAAATGATATTTCCTTTATATTCAATTTTTCTGCGCTTCGCTGCTGCTGAGCGAGTTGTGGTCTCGATCAAACTAATCGATACATATCATCATGCCGACAATATGGAAAGTAACGCCTCCTGATTGCACTCCAACTGAGTGGACCTCGCTACATAGTCATTGAGGTATTATAATAGCGCCTGTATTGGCACTTCGGATAATCGTGTTCGACAAGGCGCAAACGCGGCCTCAAAAAATTCAGACCTTCGACTACGCCATATATACCCGTTTGCCACAAGTTAAGAGAGAGAAGCAGTCGATTAGAGCATGATATGGCTACCGGTCAGAACAAGGCCGGAAACTATCTTTCCATCGGTATGTATCATTGTACTTCCACGTATTACGGTATTAGCTAACTGAATTTACCAAGATGGCGGCGTGAATCCACTCTCGGCACTCTATATCATTGATGAGATGCTCCAACGTTTACAATTTGATGTTGAGTCAGACGAACCTATCCGTGCTTGCGATTGGTTTGATTTGATCATCGGAAGCGGTCATGGCGGGTAAGTTCCGATAGCCTTCGACGGCTCCACGATTTTTCTGATCTCTCAGTTAGAATTCTTGCTCTTCTTCTCGGTCGGCTACGAATGACGGTTTCGCAGGCCATCAAGGGGTACAATTCTCTCGCAGCCGTTCTAGCGACGAAGCCCGCTGAAACTAAGAAGGAAAGGGAATTAAATATGAAGAAATTTCGTGAAGCATTCGAAAAAATATTGCTCGAAACAGGCCACAATGCGGCAACCTCGATGCGCGTTGGAGCAGGAGGAAAGAGTGACTGCAAGGTGTAGGTAGTGTCTTGGTACTCTCCATAGTCCTTCTGCTGACTCCCGTCCCAAGTGCCGTGTGTGTTCTCAACTCCCTCGATGCTGTATCATGCCAATTCATTCGTTCATACCCCACAAGAGGTATCAGTATCCCGGAGTGCAGCATAATGCAGGCCGCTTGTGCAACCATCGCTTCTCCGGAGTCATACGATCCCGTAGGAATAGGTGAAGAAGAAGATCAAGCGCAATATATCGATGCGATGGCAGGATACGCGAATCCGACAAATGAGTTACTCAAGGAAGCGGAAAAGGTGTTTGTAAAGAACGCAATGGTGGCAAATATCATCAGTATCGGATCAGGGAAACCTCAGATAGACCAACAAAATATGAATCTGAACGATGCACTCAGAAGAGCCATAACAGATACCGAAAGAGTGCATAATGACATTCAAAATCGCCTCCATGATCTTGGAATCTATTTTCGATTCAACGTAGATGGCATATTGCCTATGAAAAACCTTGTTGGAAAGACCACGAGAGTGCAGACGGCGGCGTATTTAGAAGAGGCAGCCAATAGTAAAAGAATGGATGAAGCCGTCACATCCATCCAAGAGCGTAACGGAATCAAGAATTTGAAAGAACTCAGTACGTGTATTAATCTTAAACCAAAACTGTATCTGACGTCTCTCCTAGATTCAATCACCGCCGTGGAGGTAAAATATAAACAGAGGCCCGCCGTCGTATCATTCTTCGTAGGGCGACAAGATATCCTCGACCATCTCCATGAAACACACATCGAAAAGCCTGAGCCGGAAGGTGAATACCCAACTATAAGTGTTCTTGTCGGCCTTGGTGGCTCGGGAAAGTCACAAATAGCACTACAGTTTGCCAAGCAATTCGAGAAAATGTAAGTCATCGCTCCACTTTTAAAGATAACAGTAACTTATGTATAAAGCAATCCGGATCTGCTGGTATTCTTCGTCGACGCGAGTTCAGAGCAGCGGATAAAAGAAGACTATCAGGCAATCATTCGTTCGCGCGGCCCTGCATATCGCTCTTCAACCTACGAAGGGGCCCTTGAGTGGCTCGCTACTACAGATCAACCATGGCTGATCATAGCGGACAATGCTGATGATCCCTCAATTGACTTGCATCCTTTTCTACCTCAGTGCTCTCGCGGGCATTTCATCATCACAAGCCGGAATACGAATCAGAGTCTGATGGCTCAAACACATGCTTATCATACAGAAGCACTAGAGTCGGAAGAATCAGTTAAACTACTACTCAATATCTCGGGCTATGAAGAGAATGATCTCAATGCGAGCCATGCCAGAGAAATTGTCAAGGTGCTAGGTCATCTCCCTCTCGCAGTCGTCCAAGCGGCTGGCTACATTTTTAAACACAAGTACCTCTCATCTTATCTCGAGATCTACAACGAAAGTAAAGAGGATATCTTGTCTCAAAGGGCAAAAGAGCTTCCACATGGTTACGACCTCTCTGTCGCGACCACCCTCGAAATGTCATTCAACAAACTTTCTGCGAATACAAAGGCGGTCCTCCGTATCCTATCCTTCCTTCAGAATGCATCTATCGCGCATAAAATCATCGTAGATGCGGCAAAGAACAGGTTCTTCTATGCATCTGGAAAAGCCAAGGAAGCAGATAACGAGAGACTGGATGAGATCAAGCAGGAGTCTGAAGAGCTGTGCAAAGTCTTTTGTCCGAAAGGAAAATGGTCGGAAGCCGAGTTCTACAAAATCATCGAGCCCTGTTTCCAATACTCCCTCCTTCATTCGACAGTATCGGAGGATGATCAGAAATTCTATTCGATGCATATACTCGTCAAAAGCTGGTTACAACTGCAATCATCTCCTAGTGATCAAATCTCCTCGATGCGCCTATCTCGAAGGATGCTTTTAGCAGTCATAAAGGAGAGCTCGACTTATGAGTATCTTGGCCTCTATCAAATGCTTCTACCGCATCTTAGCGCATTTTCCGGATCTCCTCTCGATTTCGCCACCGATGATTTTTTATTGTACGAGGTCTTCTTAGAAACAGGAGATCCCCTAACTGCAGACTTGCACCTCACTGCTTATATTGAAATGGCGAGAGGTCGGGTCCAATGGGATGCTCCTGAATGGTTGGAGGCCCTGTGTGAGCGGACGTGGTCCTTAATTGTGCTCGGACGTCACCATGATGCTTCAAAGGCCGGTGCGGAAGCCACAGAATTATGTATCAAAGCTCTAGGCCAGGACAATCCTAGAACTTTGAGTTCAATGAATGATTTAGCATTGAGCTATAGTAACTTGGGAGAGTATCAGAAGGCGCGAGAGATGGACGAAGATATTCTGGCGAGACGTAAAAGCGTATTAGGGCCAGAGCATTCGGATACTCTCACATCCATGAACAACCTTGCCCTCGACTACATTAATCTCCTACAGTACGAAGATGCACAGAAATTGAATGAAGAGACTCTAGCATTACGCAAGAGGCTATCCGGTCCGGAGAACCCAGATACTCTTCTATCCCTGAGCAATCTAGCTTGGACTTACAGCAACCTAGGGTTTTACGAAAAGGCCATAGAAATGAACGAAGAAACGATATCCCTACGCAAGAAAGTCCTGGGACCAGAGCACCCGGACACTCTCTTCTCCTTGAGTAATCTTGCCTTGAACTATCTAGAGTTCGGACAGGATGAGAAAGCTCGAGATATTGAAGAAAAAACGCTATTAATACGCAAAAGAGTCCTCGGCGCAGAGCATACGGACACACTTGTGTCTATGAGTAACCTTGCATGGGCTTACAGTAATTTAGGGCAGCATGTCAAGTCTCGAGAGATCAATGAAGCAACACTGGCTTTGCGCAAGAAAACTCTGGGACCGGAGCACCCGGATACGCTTCAGACTATGAACAATCTGGCCGTAAACTATGTTGACCTCGAGATGTACGCAAAAGCTTGCGAGGTTAACAAGGAGGTCGTAGAGTTACGTAGGAGAGTGCTTGGTCCGGAGCACCCCCACACTCTCCTAAGTATGGCAAATCTTTGTGTAAACTATATCGACATGGGGAGCTACAAGGAGGCGCAAGAAATAGGAGAAGAGACCTTAAAGTTACGCCAAAAGGTTCTAGGTCCTGATCATTCCGATACTCTCTTCATAGCTAAGGAGCTAGAGCAGCTACATGCTCGTCAATCGGAGTAGTATAGAGTGATTAAAGGCTGAATATATTCTTTGTTGTCCATACTTTTCTTTAGGATGCTTTGATGAAAATAGTGGTTTGTTCCCAATCGACTTAGATTCACTGAGCTGAGTCGGCGCTTAGTTCGTTCCGAATTGGGATCGAGAATCACAAGGACGCAGAGTGGCTTTGAGCGTAGCCTCACACCTTCAACTGCACCACACTTGATTGTAATCCCAGGGAAAAGTGGAAAGAATTCAATCAGATCATTACATGGCTTCTTTACATGGAAAAGCCGGAAATTATCTTGCTATCGGTACAACTGGCTATACCCCCTCGTCCCAAAGCATATAGGAACTGATTGAGTTGTTTAGATGGTGGAGTGAACCCACTCTCTGCACTCTACATCATCGATGAAATGCTACAACGGCTAAAATTTGACATTGAATTTGACGAGGACCTTCGAGCTTGCGACTGGTTTGATATGATCATTGGAAGTGGCAACGGCGGGTAATTTCACATACCCAAGCAATTTGTCGATTTTTTTCTCAATCAGTGAACCAGGATTGTCGCTCTTCTCCTTGGTCGACTAAGAATGACAGCATCCCAGGCGATCAAAGCATGCAACTCCCTTGTCACCGTGCTAGTAACTGCACCAGCAGAGAAAAAAAAAGAAAGAGAGTTGAATAGAGAAAATTTCTCCGCTATGTTCGAGAAGGTCTTGGTGGAAGCAGGTTACGATGTGAGCAAACCGATGCGTGTTGGTGTAGGAGGAAATGGCATTTGCAAGGTGTCAGTCAGAATTAATCGGATTTTGATGTCTCACTTACCTCCATGATAAGTGCTGTGTGTGTTCTCAACTCACTGGACACCGTCTCCTGTCAGTTCATTCGTTCCTACTCGACTCGCGGTATGAATACTCCAAACTGTACCATCTTGCAAGCTGCCTGTGCAACAATTGCCTCACCTGATTCCTACGAGCCGGTCACAATTGGAGAGGAAGACGATCAAATCGAATGCATAGATGCAATGGCTGGATATGCGAATCCGACAAGTGAGCTACTCAAGGAGGCGGAGAGGGTGTTTGGCAAGACAGCACTTGTTGCTACCATTACAAGTGTTGGATCTGGAAAACAGGAATTGCGTCAATGGCAATCTGATATCGCGAAGAAAATGTTGAACGATGTACTTAAAAGAGCAATAACAGACACCGAGCGAGTCCACAATAGCATCCAGAGCCGTTTTCAAGACCTTGGAATCTATTTTCGATTCAACATAGAGAGCAGCCCTCCTTTCGATAGCTCTACTGGGAAGATAACAAAAGCGCAGACGATGGCATATCTCGAGGACGCAATTACCAGTCAAAGGATGGATGGGGTCATCAAACTGATTCAAGACCGCAAGGGAATAAAAGCATTGAGAGATCTCAGTATGTCACTCTCTTCCAGATATTGGGCCTCGTTTGACGACTCTGATAGATTCCATCACTAGCGTAGAAATTACATATAAGCAAAGGCCTGCTGTTGTACCATTTTTTGTTGGACGACAAGATATACTTGATCACCTTCATGAAACACACATCGCAAAGCCAAGCCCACAAGGCGAATACCCTAGCATTAGCGTACTAACAGGTCTTGGTGGCTCCGGAAAGACTCAAATAGCTCTACAATTTGCAAAACAGTTTGAATCTGCGTGAGTATATTGCTGATTTTAATGAGGTCGCAGGCTCATATATGATTAGCAATGTAGATTCACTGGTTTTCTTCGTCAATGCCAGCTCTGAAGACCGAATCAAGGAAGATTACCAAGCCATCATTCGTTCACGTGGCCCCGCATATCGCTCATCAACCTATGAAGTTACTCTTCAGTGGCTCGTTAATACAGAAAGCCCTTGGATGATCATTGCTGATAATGCAGATGATCCCTCCATTGACTTGCATCCCTTTCTACCTCGATGTCCTCGTGGTCATTTCATTATCACAAGTAGAAATGCCAACCAAGGATTGATGGCTCCAGCTCATACCCATCATATTGAATCCTTGAATACTGATGATTCGATCAGGCTCCTACTCGAGGTCTCGGCATATGAGCCTATTGATGTCAACTTGAACCATGCCGCAGCGATTGTTCTGGCATTGGGCCACCTTCCTCTTGCCATTGCCCAAGCTGCCGGCTATATATACAAACATAAGTGTCTTTCTACTTATCTCGAAATCTATAATGAAAGTAGGGAAGAACTTCTATCCCAA